ATGAATGTTTTGGTTTATTCATATGACGAATATTGATTTACGAATGAAATGAAAATCTTTGATCATCTTTAAAGAATGTTTTAAGAGCTATGAAATGATCTTTAGGAAGTGGGATAATTGACACCAGAACTAGTTCTACGACCCTGCTAATTGGATATAATAGTTAATACACCACCCTGCTAACGGAAAATAATAATTAGTAACAATCATGAGAATGATTAGTTGATACAATTCTTATCATGGGATATAATAGTGATCGTAGCTAAGAAAATGAAACTTTAAGAGTTTCAACGATTAAAACTATGATTTGCTTGAACAATATTTAAAGACTGATATTTGATGATCCATGATTTATGAACTTACAAAATTCCTCATTTTGGATATAATGATTTGTTTAAATATTTGAAAGTATGATTTAGTGATATGCTCTTGAATGAACTATATGATATATTGAAAATGACGCTTGATCTAGTAAGGTGTGTGTGGTTATACTTCCTGAGCCGCGCATTGCTCATTCCTTTACTTATAGTTTTGTAGATGACTAGAGATTGAGAACTTTAGAGTTATGGGAGCTAAGAGAACAATTTTGGTAAGTCTACCTTAGTGTCAAGACATTGTTAGCTATCTTGAGATTTTACCACATGTAATTGATATATCTATTTCTAGTTGTTTACTTACTTTTCATCTAGGAGATTTAGTTAGATTGTAATAGAAATTATTAGTATGACTTTATTTGAGGACTTCTATAAGACTGAAAGATAGGAAAGCTTCATATTACTTTAGGACGTAGTCTTGAAGTACTATGGTCGTGTCATGTCTCAATTTTGGGGCGTGGCATATAATGGTATTAGAGCTTAGGTTTAAGATCCAAGAAAGAGAGAATCTAGACAATGAGAATAGAATTTAGTATTCTTAGTATTGTTCAAGTCATTAAGAATTATATTGTACATGAAGGAGGTTAAGAGCTAGTAGTAGATTTTTATATATTTGGAGACGTAAGACTTTAACGTTGTTTTAGGTATGAATTGGTATTAAAGCTTATGTCAATGATCCTATGGATATTTGCTTAATTTGGCATGACTTTGGATTTGACAAAAAAGAAAAAAGTTCTTAAACTTGATCATGAGAATTGATATTTTAAGCAATCTTTTGGAAGTTTGAACATTAGATTTTTGTTTTAGAGTGCTATGAGTTTATTAATGTGAAAGTGAGAAATTTGTGATATTAGCTTCTAATTGAAGTAAATTCGAGACTCATTGGAATAATATTTTATCGGAGAATATTGCTTCTCATGGTAGAAGTCGTAGATTATGAATTTGTGCATAAAGGCTAAGGTTATGGTTATGGAAAGATCTTATTGAATAAGTTTATTTGTGATTGAGTATTTTGAGGTGTAGAAATGCATTTTGTTAAGAATAACTTTGATTTGTTTTAAGTGCAAAAGATGTTTCTTATTGTGGTAAGACTAAACAATTAAATGACAGTTTTGTATATTTGAGAATTTTGAGTATGGAATCAATTTTCAAAAATTGAAGAAAACTTATGATATTAAATGATGTTATTGATTGGTATTTGTAACCTCACTATTGTCATGAAATCAATTACTTGGAATACATATTGGTTGAAATTCTTTATAAATTAGTTTTGCTTATATATGATTCTCACTTTTAACTTTCACTTGGAGTTGATAGTAATATACCCAATTTAAGAAAAATTTATATATTTTGATATTTATAAGCTATCTAAGGAGTTTAGTTCTTATCATATAAGTGATGAAAAATACTTGAAAGTAAATGATACATGAAGTTGGATGTAACTTGGATAGTTAAGGATTTATGTTTGAATTATTTGCAAGGTGAAAAACTTATGGATATGATCTATTACATTGGTATGATCTTTGTCACTATTTGATAATAGCCAAATTGCATAAAAGTATTTTGATAGTCAGTTAAAAGAAAATGAACATGGTATGTGATATTTTTGAAGTTATGTTTAAATAAAATATTAGAATGTGCAGCGGATGCATGATTTAATTGAAGTTATGAATTATGGATTATTGATAATTTAGTTTAGTGATTGATCATTATTAAATGATGATTTGTGTATTAATTATGTAGAGGATGTGGATTTTGATACATAGAGACTTAGAGAGTTTACGTAAGTTGTGAAATTGTGATGGTTTGTTATGTTTGATCTCATTGGAAAAGGAATATTGGATACATAAAGTTAAATTTCTTTTGAAGCTAAGTTACTAACAATGATTGAGATTTATGTAACTTTCATGTTTTGGAGCATAAGGATTTTGTAAAAGTTTATTATTTTGAAATCCTATCTTGTATTGGGATAAGAATCAAAATTGAAGATTTGGATAATATTAATGTTGATTTTGTTATTGGATAAACAACCATGAGAAGGTTATGATGGGTACTTATTTAAGTACAATTGACGAACCCTTCTTAAAGGATTGTGTGTTATATTTGTTTGAGAATTGGACAAGGTTTAAGTTCATGGACTTTTTAATTTAGAGAAAACAAATTAAATTGTGGAAGATATGCTGTGGGCTTGTATGATTTATATAAATGGTAGTTGGAATGGTTATTTACTCTTGATATGACTTGTGTACAATGACAGTTATCGGTTTAGTATTAGAATATCTCTTTTTGAAGTTTTGAGGAGGAAATGTTGACCTCTTTTATGTTGGAATGATGTCAAGCAATGAAAGCTTTTGGGACTGGTGATGTTGTAGATGGCAATAAAGAAGATTAAGATGATTAAGGAAATACTTAAAGCCTCACAAGATCTTTGAAAAAGTGGGAAAAAAAGAAGAGAAAGGGCATAAAGTTTTAATGAAGGCATTACGCCTTCTTAAAGGTGTCACTTAAGGGTTATGAGGTTTGGACAGTAAGGATGTAACACCCCTAATTTTCAATGTAAATCAAGTTAAATGAGAATAAATCTATTAAGTATATTGTTCCTTGTGGACATAGATGACGTGTTACGTATGTTGAGTATTTAACAGTGTATATGTGGACACTTAGGCAACATTTTATGGAACTGCATGATGGACACTATGATTTAAGGTTTTGACTTGTATGTGATATGATAATGG